ATAATACAGTAAAATCTGTATAAACCAGAAAAATTCTTCAGAACGGAGCGATTTTCTGTTTAATAAAAAAAACCTGCTACAAACGGAAACCTGCCAAACCGGAAAAAATAATCGGTGCGGTTCCTGTTTACAGAGATTTACAAGAATGATTATAATTATACTTATAATATTACAGTATAAAGAAGGGCTTGGGGAGGGAAGGGATAGAGAAGAGTCAGTCTTCTTGATTGGCACTCTATAAACTGTCAGCATCAGCCGTAGGTGTCAGTCAGAAATATCAGCCTTCACGCTCTCCATCCCTCTCAAAGTGTCTAAATACGGGCCTGACCATATGACAATAATTTAATTTTTGATTCATAAATATACACTTTATCGACATTTATTAATTTAAAACGGAAATTAAACCCTACAGCTTACCAAACAAAATTAATCTCAACTCCATAATGAAATATCCTGTTTCTAGTTTCCCCATTACTGTAACTTACGATGGAAAGTATTTGAAAATAATTATTTATAACATTTAGATATAGTATATTATTATTCAAAAGCAAGGGTGCTTATTCTAATTAATCAGTAACCAACGGGATTAAATTAAGGATTAATTCAGATAATTAGCTTCTGTAACTACAATTAGACCCGCCGATATAACAATGTTTACCGTTAAATTATTGTAAAGTAACTAATTACATTTTATTGTAATCAATTTTATAAAACAAAGTTAAAAAGAAAAATAATTAATTAATTAGTAAAATTTAACTTTTATGTGAAATAATCCCAGTGAAATTCTCTCTAGAATAACCTTCCTAGTTATATTCTTCCAAATCAGTGTTTCAGAAAGACAGGTTGTAATAGAGGAGCACTAGAAAGCAAGTAGGCAACGGGCATTAATAAACAAGGAGGTTAAAGAAATATACAGTATGCACTAAAAGGGGCCTTTCTAGTTATATTCTTCCAGATCGGTGTTTCCCAAAGACAAGGTGTACACTAGAAAGCAAAGAGCAATAGAAGGATTAATAAACAAGAGGGATAAAGAAATATAAGCACTAAAAGGGAGCAGTAGTCCGAAAAGTTCGGGAAACACTGTTCTAGATGATGATAAATTCTACAATTGGCTGGCAAAGGCATCATCTGATCTTTCACAGAGCTTCGTCAGTTGTATGTTTGTGAGATATGATGTCAAATATATCATCCTTCATCACATGGGAGAACATATACCAGACTCATTTTTGGCATGTAACTGGGATCGATTTTGCGATATCTGTTTCTTTCAATTCTCTCACTATCTTTCTTATATATATATATATATACATTATCTAGAAAATAAGGTTGTCTGTCTGTAACGATCGAATTGGAAAATTTCGATATTTAATCATTAAAATTTTCCAATTTTTTTTATTTCTATTTTAAACTCGTGTTTAGTCCACGCAATAACTGTCATTCAAAGAGAAAAGAGGATCGAAAATTGCTCCGTCTGCGGAATATTTCAAAACTAAAACATCTCCAGCGTAAGACAAACAGAAAAAGAATCGAATTACTGAACGTTTTGTAACTGGAAACTGTAATTTTATATTAGGAGAAAAGTAAAGGAGATCAATCATTACAAAGAAAAACAATGGGATGAGAAATTCCGAATAAAATATTAAGTTTCTACAAAGGAATTTTATAGTTAAAAATAGTTTTATTAAATTTAATAATACGGAAAAATTCTTATTTATTAAATATAACGTTTACATTTATTTAAATATTTTATATTAATTGTTTTGCTGATAAAATTCTTGCTTTTTTCCTTTAATGACTCTCGCGGTCATTAATTGTCAATAATGACGTTTTCGGGTGGTTTGAAGTTATTTTTAAGAGTTTCAAAAGATTAATTGGATCGAAAGGACTAAGTAGGGGACTAGAGATAAGAATAATTTCCAATAGATAAGTTAGAAACGATTCAATTGATGCAATCCAAGCTTAATGAGTCGGAAATGCGAGAAAGATTGCAGAGAAACAGATGGAATTATTGGATTGTAATATAAAGATTAAATATTAGACATAAAAATTATATACACTTCGTATTCTAACCTGTTAAAGAAGAATTTGAATTTATCTTTAATCGAATTTCCTAATTAAAAAATAAATAAAAAATTCTACATTATAGTAAAGTATTTTCCGGCGGGTAAGGCGCACCCCATTCTCAGACAATATAGAAGAAAATGCGCGTTATACGCCTGAAAATACGATAATTTATTAATTTATAATTAAGAATGACTCTTCCCGAAATATATTATTAGTTTTTTTGTCTTTAATATTTTATTACTTCTTTATTTTTATACATTCTTAAAAGTTTATCGCGCGTCAAGTTAATGTCATTTGCTACGTGGTAGAAACCGCACTTTCTATTATTTTCTAAGTAGGAAGGCACCGGGATATTCTTAACGATGTTTATTGTTAAATATTTAAGAATTGGAGATAATATTAAAAAAGCCAGAAGTATTTTTTTTTAGAAAGGAGTAACGTATAGATGCAAAGAATTTAAAGTTATCAAGTAGCATGCATCAGTTGAGAGAAATTTCCTGTTTATTTTAAACTTATTTCAAACTTGATCGAAAGAGCAGAATGGAATCACGACAGCCTAAGGCTAAGGATTTCAATGCAAACACGTCTATCACATCCTGTAGCCTAAGTAATAAACTTAGCTCCAACAGACCTTTAATTATATTACTTAGATGTAAGCATTTTGCCCATAGATACGACGTTTACGTCATATAAAAATCGACTCCAATGACAATAGCCGAAACAAAAATTGTCTTTTCTTTCTTTTTTTCCTTTCTTTCGAGGTGATTTGTTGATTTATCATGCAAGAATCCAATTAGTTTGACCTCGACAAATGAAAGTGAGAATGACTTTTAATTACAATACAATGAATTCGATGTTTTTAAAAAGTTTTCGACTTGTAATTTTCTTCACATTTAAATAAGTTAGGAGCTGATTTTGCTGTCTGATTTATTATGATTCCGAGTTAATCGAATTAATAAGAAAAATCAATAGAAATTTAATCGATTTTTTACTTTTTTGTCTGTTATACACAAGTGTGGCTACCGGTCAAAAAAATGACCCCCCCAAATTTTTACATTTTCGGACTCGAGAAATGTAAAAAAAAATTGGGGGTTTCGTTTCTGTATATATGGATGTTAGTGTGTGTGTGTGTGGGAGGCAGGATTTGTTTATCCAATTTTAAGCTTAATAATTCCTATGTCTTTTGTTGAAAATTTCTGAAATTTTGCGGGGAGGATTGTATATTAAGGTCATTAATTATTTTAAATTTTGGTGGTAAAAGGTCGAAGGGGTGGGAAGATAGAGGGGAGTCATGTGTCATATCTCGAGTGGGTTCGGACTTAATAACGATTTTTACTCGTTATTAGCATTTAAAACAGTTTATAAAACTCACCTCTAACCTCAAAATTAAGTTTTTTGTCATTTATAATAAAGTAAAAAAATTTTAATAAAATCTCGTAACAGATGGCGCCAAACAAAACTTTAACTTTTTTGCCAATAAAGTTACGCAATTCGTTGCTGAATTTTTTTTTTGTTTTTTTGCATATTTAAATTAGAATAAATACATCTAAACTTATTATTTATTAATAACCATTGCTTAATTAAGTTTATTTAATTAGTAATTCTGTATTGTTAATACACAAATCATAATCTTAACAACCATCACTCATCAAATTTTAATTGAAAAATCAAGTTTTTTTTGAAGTGGTTTAATTAAATTAGGATAATTAATTAAGATATAAATGTTTCCGTTTGTATTTATTTTATTAAATGTCAATGTAGAGTTATATTTATTCTCGAATATTCCGATTTTTATATATATTTTTGCTTGAATTAATCTATTGTTTTAAAGGATTGATGCTGCTGTATGATGTTCAAGTCACGGTTCAAGTATTTTTAACGAGGTAAATAATCTCTTAAACTTTCCTATCACGAAAAAGTGTTTATGTAAGATTTTCTATTGTTCTATAAAGTTAATCCAATTAGACTCATCTCGCTTCAACTTTAAAGTACCTGAATTTTATGTAAACAGACGTTTTAAATTTAGATAAAAAAAAAAAAGTAAAAATATATATTTTAAAATTCAAAATGATGTAGGAATTTAAGAATGGAATTTTGGACATTTTGTATTAAAATTTGCTTTACTGTTAGAGCAGCTTTTACGAGTTCTTTTGCCTGTAAAGGGCAACTAACTGTGCTAAGGTTTATTCGAGAAAATGGCTGATGTAGAGATCATAACTTTATGATCAAAATAATAAATTTTACGATTCTTTTACTCAAAGTATTTTCTACCCAACATGACTTTCTTACAAGGTTTATTATAGAGTTATAAAGAATGACGTTGGTTAAATAAATAAATAAAAAGAAAACATTAATTTTTATGAGGTTCTTTCCAATTATTTTACTTTCTTATTAAAGAATATATATTAAATACACTTAATTAAATTAGATTGTTAAGCAGTATGAAGGTGCTTAAGATGTAATTGTTTATCAATACTTAAGCTTTATTGGGCTGCAATTTTCAATATTGCAGATCCGTGCATCCGTCCGTCTGTCCTTAGTTAATTTCGAGAATGACGTTAGATTGATGAAAATTGAGACCAGATATGAAAATTGGAGTTAGAGAAATGAAAATCAAGACAATATATAGAAATCTTACAGATTGGAGGACCCTACTCTTTCAACATATGATCTCGATTTTCATCTCTCTAACTCCAATTTTCATATCTAGTCTCGATTTTCATTAACCTTACACGTGGTTTTTTACACGACGTAATTTTTTAAAATTAAAATATGATTAAAATTGCATCCCGTCACAATAAATATGTTCGATATTTCTGTTTATAAATAAAACAGGATAAACTGTATAAAAATTACAATAATGGGGTTTAAAATATAAATAAATAAACACATATTTAAGTAACGGATATTTTTATTGCAACAATGATGGAGAAAAATACCATTTATTATATATGTATGTGTGTGTGTATATATTAATATATATATATAATTTTTTGTATTCTTGCTTTTAAAACGTGACACAAAAATTACATTAATCATAAATTCGAGATTTGGTATCGTGACGAATACACGGAAACATTAGAGAAATATGGATATTTGTGCCGCTAGTGCACAATATAACACGCATGCCGTATCAAATAACAACATTAGTGTGCAATTTATGGCACCGAAGGTGCAATTCCTTGTTGTCTGAAACTATATCCCAACCTATAAATAGGGTCACCGTATTGCGACCGATACGCTTGTTCCCGAAATCTTTTGTTAACAGTAGAACATCGAAATAATAAGATCTCTTTAAAAGATCTTCGAAAATCTTGATGGAAGGTCATGTAAATAATTGGGTTCAACATGGAGTTGGCGTATCCCAACCATAGGACGAAACTACGTATAAATCTGGGTACAGAAATAGTGGGTTTGAGTAAGGATCTCATGAGTGCCACTACAAAGAAAGGCAACCAACATACAGTAAAGGCAGTCACGATAATGCCGAGTGTTATCGATGCCTTACGTTCTTTTAAGATTATGGCCCTCCTAGTGGCTTTATTTTTCTTTTTCCACAATACGTTCGATGTTCTACCACCGTTCTCGTCCATGTTTACGGTACACAATTGATATCTTTCTGGTGTTCTAAACATAACAGATTCGTTACTGTCGGGGAGAGGACATAAATTTAACTGACTGCGATTTTTAAGCTCCAATAACATCTCTTTACGATCTATGCTGCTGTTCCAGCAAACTGACAATAGCCCGGTTTGTTTCCTTAAAGTACCCTTTTCGGCTTCCACCACTCTCTTCGCTGCTACGTAAATTTTACAATACATGACGACCATGACCAGAAGAGGGATGTAGAATGCTCCAAACGTGGCGTACAATTGGTAAGCAAAATTCTGATTGATTTCACAACTCGGCATCAATTCTGATCCGTGATCGTTTCCTAAAATAAGTAGAGGTGGAATACTTACCAAACACGACATCATCCAAGTGGCAGCGATGGAGATCCAAGTACGCCTGGCCCTCGTGCGCACACCATAAGTCAATGGTTTGGTAATGGCCAGGTATCTATCTATGCTAATCATGCAAAGATTAAGGATGGAGGCCGTGCAACACGTCATGTCGAAAGCTATCCACATATCACAGATGGTGTCACCCAATCTCCAATCTCCAGAGAGCTCGTAGTGAAGAGCAAGAGGCATGACCAGTAGTGCCACACAGAGATCGGAAACGGCAAGAGACACCAGGAGGAAATTTGGAGGCCTTCGTAATTTCTTAACACAAAATACCGACGCACACACCAGGGAGTTACCGATTGTTGTAAACACAATTATAGTACCCAATACTACGCTGATAACAATGGTGGCACAAGTCGAGTAATCTTCTTCCATAACGATGACGTCTTCGTCCAAACAGGTGCTGTTGCAATAAATGTCTGTGTAGTTTTCCATGACGTAACCTGAAAATAGAGTAGAAATGATTAGACCAGAAGGTATGACGTTGAGTAAAAGCACTAATGAGAGAAACGATGAGTAATATTGCCCCCCCCAGTAAGATGGCATTTCGTGTCAATCAGGAACAAATTCTCAGGTAATGGCTGTAATGTATGGCATTTTCTTCTCACTAAGTATGGCAATCCAATTATGACCTACTGTAACACGTGATTAATGTTTGTTTAGCATGCCACCAACAGATCCGAAACAAGGCAAAACTTTTCTTCTTCGTACTTATTTTTACCAAACTTCCCGATATTTTAGTTTGTGTAAAATTATAAATGTTAACATTCTCTAATGTTATAAACTATTTCTGATGAAATGTTTGCGTGTTTAATTAAATTATAATATTGTTTCATTCGCTCTCATCATTTTCCTAACTAGATTAAAATTGAAAAATGAGATCAATTCTTCACTTAATTAATTGATCTTTCGTGTCAATCATTTATTACACCAGAGCAAATTTAATCTGAAATTTTAAATAGGAAATATTCAATTTCGGGATTAGGCAAATGAAGGTAAAGAAGAGGAAGGATTTTCGAAAGAAAATTAATTAGATCATTAAAAGAAAATAGAGAATTAATTCCTTATTCTTTTAGTCGTACTAGAAAATAAGTTATTTAAAGCATAAAGTAAAACCTGTCTAAAACTGAACTTGAATAAAACGGGAATTGACTAAACTGAAAAGATTCTTCGAAACGAAGCAATTTTATAGGTTAAAAAAACCGTTCAAAACGGAATAGCATTTTACGGTTTACACAGGTTTTATTATATTAGCCGAATTTGTTTTGTGTCGCTTTATAAAAGCGATTAAATAAAAAAATGTATTCGAATATAATCCTTTGAGACATGGTTTCAAATTGTATCTTCGAATAAGATTATTCAGTTTTTCAATATTTTACATAATATGGACGTCTTGTTATTTCAGTAAAGGTGAAAGCTTTGCAGGCATAAACAAGTAGGCCATAAAAAATATTTTTACTTGTTTTTACTTTCCCGGCTGTTATGTATAACAGAGAGAAAATATGGTCATCGGTCAAAATAATGACTCGGGGGACCTCGAAGCGTCTAAAAATTCTGGGGTTTCTGTGTATATGAATATTAGTGTGTATGGGGACACGATTTTATTCACCTAATTTGAAGCTTAATAACTCCTGTGCCTTTTCTCGAAAATTTCTGAAATTTTGTGGGGAGGTTTATATATTAGGAGGATAGAGACTATTAAATTTTGGGGGTTAGAGGTCGAGAGAATGGAGAGATAATGAGGGTCGTGTGTCGTATCTCGAGTGAGTTCGGACTTAATAAAGATTTTACTCCTTATTTATCATTTACATTTTTTACTTTTTAAATTTAAGCCAATTTAAATTAATTAATAATAAAAAAAGTTTTTGATAAAATCCCATAACAGATGGCACCACACGCAATTTTAACAATTTCTTTGCCGGAAAAGTTACGCAACTCGTTACTGGATTATTTTACGTATATAAATGCTAAAAAACATTTAAAATCCTTTCAAATTTTTTCTAAATAGATTTTTAAAACTTTATTCATTTGCTTAAAGTATTAAAAAAAATCAATTAAACATTTTAAAAATGTAATCAGAACTTTTTATTGATAAATATGAAAAAAAATCTTTTAATGTTTAGAAGAGTTTCATTTATAAACAAAATTTAAAAGATTAAAGAAAAAAAGTAATGAGATAAATCGAAATGAGAAATTTATTCGAATTTAAATTATAAATAAGAATAAAAGACTTAAAAGTCAGAGTTTATTCTTTAAAAAAAAAAACACGTAAAAAGATCATTTTTAATTCTTTTCTGTGGGGCGAGTTAATTAAGAAATATATCTTTGAAGAAAGTTCATTAAGGAGAAATGGCATCTCGAAAATATCCATTAGAATGTAAGATAAATTCTTCCGCTTCTTGTTTATCGTCAACAATAATTTTGTTTCGTGACCGAAAATGAGCATCTGGACCACAAATAAATATAATAATCAACCATCACTCGACAATGGAACATTCACGTTTCTATATTTATATAATTTTACTTGTGAGGAACATGATTAAAGTTTATCCCATTTTGATNTATCTCTATCTTATGGGGGGTCGACTGTATTTATAAATTTATGAAAATTCGATAATTAAGAAGTTTAGGAAATGAAAATGAATCTTTTTTTCTTCTTTATTTTTTGATAGCAGAAGACAAAATGGCGTGAGTGCTTTGGTTGGAAGTTGTGCTACGTGCGTGGCTTTGAATCTATTTTAGTTCAAATAAATACGATAGATATAAGTTGCAAATAAAATAAGTTGTTTCTTAAAATCAATATTAATGTATAAATTATATTAGACATGATTTAAACAAGACTTTCTTACTTTCACATTTATTTTATTGTATACTACTGCAAGAAGGGGGTGAAAAATCAATTTTTTTTTTACTTTGTTTAATATGTTTAATATGTTAAGAATAACGCCGTTTCCGGATTGTTTACTCTTTTTTCTTACTAAAGGGCCCACTATTAGGCCCCAATAGTGAGGCCTTTTAAGTAAAAATAGTAAACAACCTGGCGAGAACCTGATAAACAATTCGAAAAAAAACTCCAATGACTTAAATTTTCTAGTGGATATCGTTTAATAACAAAAAATTTATAATTGGTCTTCATTTAATTGCAATTTTAATTGTAAAAATAGAAAAAAAATATGAATTAAATTAAGAAAATATATGTTTATATAATTTTATAAAGTATAAAAAAAATTAATAATAGTGAACTTTAATAAGATATTTAAAAAATTATTTATATGAAATACGAAATATAAGCAGATTATTATATAACTTCAAGATGTGAATGTGGATCCTTTGAGAGAGGGAAAGCAGGGTATTTTTCTCCACGTCAAGTTAAAACTAAAGGCCGTATGAAGTAATATTACTTTTGCTAACAACAGAAAAATAAAATAAAATCTTTAAATTTTAACCATATTCTTTAATTAATTTATTTTAAATTCCTGTATGTGCTCTCGATTTTAGCAATGCTTTACCCCTGTACATCATACTTTTCCTAATAACAGTAAGTCGTGCTGGTCATCNCGCTAAATACTTTACAAGTTCGTTTAAAGATAAAATATTCTATTATTTAATTTAGGAAAGATAAATTTCTTAAAAGAAACTATATTTTACTTATAACTTTAACTAAAATTTAAGAATTTGGAATGGATTAAAAACTTCAAAAGAGGATTATCTTTTACCATTCTCTAGTAGACTTAGACGGGGCTTACCTTTGAATGTTAGGAACAGTTAGAAAACCTTCTATACGTGAAAGAGGAGAGCGGTCCACAGTTGGACCTTCTCCGTCCACTCCACTATTGAAATGACTAGGAACACAAAAGACTCTTCTCGACGAGCCGATGAAATACTCTGAGATCAATATGTGCCTACATGCAGTCTGAGTAGGAGATAAAGAGTTTGCGCTGACTGAACCCGCATATTGATTTTTTACAGATTTTTTTCTTACGTCAAAGATACTTTTCTTCACTATAACACTTCCTGTATCATTGTCACCCCGAAGCTATATCAAAATGCTCAAATATTACTTAGTTCTAAGCTTGCCAAAGCTAACGACAACGATGCTCAATTCTACTTGAATTTTTGTTAAAATATTTAAAATTTTAATTAAAAAAAGTCAAAAATTTTATTTGTAACCGTAACTAAAATACGAATTAAATAATTAAATTTATTACTTATTAAATATTTTTAATTCTAATTAATCATTAATTCGCCTTATCGGTTATATAATGGCTATCTTATCTTTATTATCCCTTGTGGTATTCATTAACTACCCGATAATGACTACTACTACTTCAACTAAATAGCTGCTAAATATAACTATAACAAGTAATTACTTGTTATACTTGCTCGCCCTTTAATTCACTCGAAATAATGCGATATTTATTATAAATTTTTCCATTATACACCATTATTTCACGCTTTATATTATTAATTTCTGAATAAAATATTCCAGAAAAAGTATAAATTTAATCCCGCATGAAATGAAGTATAAATTACTTAATTAAGTATTTTTTTTCCAGGTAAATTATGATTGATTTTTTACCTCACAATTGGAAACTCAACCAAGTATGAAATGGTGCAGTCTATTAAGGTTTGCTGCTCTGATTCAATAAAGGATTCTTCAACTGCCTGAAATCGCACATACTTAATTAGAAGTGAAATATAATATTCTCAATTAAAATAAATAAATAAAAAGTCTGATAATAATGCAAAATTCCACGTTAATTTATCGGGACATAAATAATATGTTAACAATTGATAACAAAGGGCATTTGCAGTTGAAGTTAATTAACTTTATAGATATAGTTGAGATATAATGATGTTGTTACGTCGTTGAATTAATTAACTAAGTTCCAAAATATGATTTGTAAATGAAATTTATGAACTAACGCTAATATATTTAATTTTATACAGATATTATGTACACTTAATCAACAGAAACTTATAATATGTTAATATTTTACAATATACCTGTGCTTTGTTTACTTAATATATTTAAATATTTATATATTTTACACGGAAAATAATAAATAATTTATTAATTTTATTTATTTACTCACCGAAATACTTTTTAATTTAAGTTTACAGTCCAACCTTCAACGACGATCACCTGTAAATAGCGGCCATCTCCACAGAAATTTTTAAAAACCAAACAAAACCTCCAAACAACGACCAATTTTCGTGTTTCCTTCGCTGGTCGTTGTTCACAGGTTTGATTATTTAATTTAAAATTAATTAATATTTTTCATCAGGACTCTTCNTTTTTATTATAAATAATGTCGATATAAATTATGTAAAATTAAAATAGAAGATAAATATTCCTATGACACATTATATTTATTCGTTCTTGACAGGTAAATCGCTTGTTTAATTGCCAATAAGTCAGAAAGAATTATCGAATTGTCACCACATTCTTCATTGAATTAGCTACTCCAAACAATCTTTCTTATATAAAAAATACTTTAAATAAACTTTATTTTAATGGAAACCGACTCCCTATTTACGTGTTAGATAGGTAAAAAAATCCGGGAAACACCCGTTGATGAGGAACGAGCCCACCATCAAGTTTAGAGGTTTTATCCACTCTCCTATCTCACTAATTGGGGGGGAAGAGTGTCCGTTATTGCTGAAAGTTCGTAATATCAAATTTAATTTTTAAATTATTCTTGAGCTATTACAAATTGATTTAATTTCAATGCAAATATAACTATTGTAGGAAAAGATGTATATGTAAGATATAATTCATATGTAAATAAAACAATTAAACAGTGCATGAAACTGTGCAATCTCCAGCACAATTTTATTTGAAAGCAAACATTTTCAACTGTGTTAAACATGCATTGTAAAACTAACTCTAGTTAGAAAAACTGAAAATGGCATCATCAGGCTAAGTCTTATTAATTTACTTTTCTCTTATATAAATTTTTTGGTGTGTTAATGTATTTTATATTTTTTTAAATGCTGAATGTGAACTACAGTAGAGCATCAGTTATCTGACTCAATTGGGGACTCGGGTTGGTCGGATAATCAAAAAGAATGAAAAAATACATTATTAGTATAGTATATTAGCATATTAGTATATCCCATGTAATTAGTATATCGCTATTAACATACTTCACGTTGAATTTTCATCGATGTTAAGCCTAACAAAATTTTTTTAAAAATAATAATCATAGCTATTGTATCGTTAAAAAATATTTTAAAATTATTTNCATTAGGTAATTTATACTTATTAGCACACGAACACACACCCATATTTTAGCATGTTCTATCCTAGAAAAAAATTCCATTAACGAGTTGCATAACTTTTCCGGCAAAAGATTGTGTGTGGTACCATCTGTTACGAGATTTTATTAAAAAATCTTATCATATTATTATAAAATGGCAAAAAAATTAATTCTAATGGCGATTTTATAAAAAAGTTGTAAATGCTAAAAACGAGTAAAATCTTCATTCAATTCGAACCCACTCGAGACAGGACACGTGATCCCTTCTATCTCGCCATCGCTTTGACCTTTAACCATCAAAATTGAAAAAATCAATGCCCCTAATACTCAAACCATCCTATAAAATTTCAGAAATATTCTACAAACGGCACGGGAATTATTAAGCTTTAAATTGGGTGAACAAATTGGGTGATGATGTATTGTACTTAACAACCGAAAAAATAAAAGTGTTATAAATAATTTTTCCGGTAAATCGAGGGTCTATTATACAAATTATTCATTAATACGGGTCAGAAAATTTAGTAATTTCTTGTTATTTTCAGCATTTTACAAGCATTATTGATAGTTATAACGAACGAAATCAGCAGGACATCTACAGATGAGTAACTTATTACGCTGTAACTAATACAATTTTCCCAACTAAACAAAACTTCGAACTCTTTTAATTCGAAACAATTAATATAAAGAAAAGGAAAGAAACAATTTAAATTAAAATATTTTAAATTCTTCAATACTTTCTTTTTAAAATATTTTTTTTCACTTTATTAATTTATTAAAAATTTTAAACAGAAATTGTTTTTGCTGTTTAAAAAATTTATTTAATATAAAACATGAACAGGAAATAATCAATTGAAAGAAAAATTCATTTTTTTAGTACCCATTTTTCTTTTAAAGTTATCAATAAGTGTTTTTTATGGATAACTTGTTTTCAGAGCTTATCTACGATTCTCAAAGTCTGTATTAGTTCATATTGCACAGAGAACAAAACATCCGAGAAGATTTATGGAGTTTTTTTTATACTCTAGAAAGATTTATTGAAAAATTTTTCACCTTTCCTCGGTTTCTATAAGAAAAAAATCCAGCAACGAGTTGCGTAACTTTCCCGGCAAAAGAAGTTAAAATCGCGTGTAGATCCATCTGTTACGAAATTTTATTTTAATAACTTTTTATATTATTAATTACACTAAAATAGCACAAGGCTTAATTTTTAAGACGGATAAGAGTTTTATATAATATTTTAAACGATATTAACGAGTAAAATCGTCTAAACTTACTGGAGACACGACACGTGACACCACTCTAGCTCCTCACCCTCTCGACCTTTAACCACCAAAATTTAAGAGCATAAATCACCCTAATACACAAACATCCATGCAAAATTTCAGAATTTTTTTACCAACGGCACAAGAGTTATTAAGCTTTAAATTGGGTTAACAAAATAGTGTTTCCACACACATATACAGAAAAAACAATCTCAAATTTTTTTGATGTTTCGAAATCCTCAGAGTCTAAAAATATAATAATTTTGAGAGGAGGGCCATTTTTTTGACCGATCGCCATACTTTTANAGCAGATTATTATATAACTTCAAGATGTGAATGTGGATCCTTTGAGAGAGGGAAAGCAGGGTATTTTTCTCCACGTCAAGTTAAAACTAAAGGCCGTATGAAGTAATATTACTTTTGCTAACAACAGAAAAATAAAATAAAATCTTTAAATTTTAACCATATTCTTTAATTAATTTATTTTAAATTCCTGTATGTGCTCTCGATTTTAGCAATGCTTTACCCCTGTACATCATACTTTTCCTAATAACAGTAAGTCGTGCTGGTCATCTATCTTGCTCCGTTTTATAAAGAATTTTTGAATTGAAGTTTATATGAGGCCCACTCTATCCCGGGCCCTATACAAACTTCAGAGGCCTCGTGTAGAGGTATGATTTATTAGAAAATAAATGAATTTTTCTTTAATTAATCTACAAAGTTCAAAGGCCCTGTGCAAAGGTATATATTGGAATATAAATAAATATAATGAATATTTTTTTTGTATTGATCTAAAAAACTACATTAAAACTTTAAATTAGTTTTATTATTTTGGTAAAGATTTTTTTTTATCAGTTGATTAAAATACGAACTTCTATGTAATATAAACAAATAAGAATTATCGAATTCTGATTTATTTTAAATAATTCACTTCTTTATTATTTTATTTTATTTTAAAAAAATAAAACAAAATAATTCAATCATATTAAAATAACCCGGATTATTTATTTTTGATAAAAAAAAAATATTTCTTACGTATTGGAATTCTGCCCATTGTAGTGACTTTCTATGTATAAAAGTAAGTCATGCAGTTTCTACAGGAAAGTTTTTACTTGAATTTTAGAATGAGAAAAAACTCGAAAGATTCCAGCGATTAATGATTTTTTAAACTGTGATGAATAATAAATTTGTTTACACATATTTTTTCCTTTTTTATTTGTCTGTGTAAAGAGAAATTTCATTCTTTAGAAAATGCGTAAACATGTTTTTTTATGTAGATAAATAAGCAAAATTTTTACTCCAAAGCGTATGGAAATTTCCACCAAGCTTCATTTTGTTTGTTTATTTATTTATTTTAAGGCCTATTTTTAATACGTAGTGCCATCAAATATTTTATGCTTATTTTAAAGTACTTTGTTTCAATTTTTATATAATGGTTTTTAATCTTTGCCCATGCTATTTAAATTTTTAAAACGGCTCTCTTACCCCCATATTAAAAATTCTCCTATTTTAAAGGATATTTTAAAGGATAAAGAAAGTCTCATTTTCTCGGTTATCCTAACTTTAAGGGTAGATTTAAAGACGAAAGTTGTATGTGTCCATTTATTCTTATGAAAGCATTTAGAGATTTACAACAGGAAAAATACAGTTATAAATTTAATGTTGGTATATAATAAATATCTCATCTTAAAACAATCTTAAAAAATGCAAAAATTTAAATCAAAAAGTGAAAAGATAAACAAAATCACATCAGAATAATTTCTAAGTTACTAATTTTTAAGTCATTGATAAATTCTAAACTAAATCTTGCAACCTTCCAGCTTCGGGATGCAAGACTCAATCCCTAGCATCCCTATACTCCGCATCACTAGCTTAAGAATCACCGATTAAAACAGTCAAAATTTTATTATAAAAAAAATAAATTAAAATATGCAAAATTTAGATCGAATTTCAATTTAATAAAAAGGGAAAATGTTAATAGAATTTGTAAGTAAAAAAAGAGGAAACATCAATAAAATTCAACAGATATATTAAGTAATCGAAAAATGCGAGTCTTAGAAAAGTTGAAATGCGTTTGATGTTATCCAAGATGAAAGGAAAGAGGAATATGAAAGTTCCTACGGATTATATCAGCACTAAAATAGATTTAATGACACTATCAAGAATTGAGAAATCAATTTTCGAAATCACTTAGGCCCGTAGATATATGCTGTATTGATATTTCTCTATATTCTTCAATTTTATTCCAACGAAATTTTGCATGAAAGATAATTGCAACAGAATTTAAAAAATATATATATTATTTATTTATTTATTCTATGTTAAATATAATACGCATTATATTCGCGACTCCTTTCTACTTTCTTTTATTAGCAGCTGATCTGAGAACGAGCGAATTAAGTAAATTTAAAATCAAAGAAATTTCTTAAAAAATAAATAAAGTTTTGTTTCCTAAAGCTCAATTTAATATTTCTTACTCAAAAATAAATCTAATGAGAAATTTTTATTACTTTTTGATATTGCTTTATCAGAATATATATTATATATTTATATTATCTATAAATATAAGATTATTCTTTTATATTATTTACTTATTAGAAAAATATTTACGATAAATTTCGAGATTTTTACAGGAAGTTACAAACAACAAAGGAAATTTTAATAAATTTTTAAAGGAAAATTTTATTAAAACTTTATTTATATTTTACTATATTTTTGGGTAAATACAGATGTAATATTGTTTACAATAAATTTATAAAAATATTTTTAAAATATGGTCTTAAACATTCAAGTTCTGATCATTTGTAGAGAAGGATAGAAGCGCTGAGTGTGATTTTAATCGAACTTCATGCAGATGTAGAGTATAGAAAAATCTAACCAAACACGCAAGGGGCCACCCATTAATTACGCGTACAGTTTAAGGGAAGGAGGAGGTTGAGAAAAGCACAACGTTGTACAATATGGGAGAAAGAGATCGAGAAAAGCATACCTTTTTACACCTTTAAGAGGGAAGGAGTCGAGGCATTGTCTACCTAAACTTTCTTAATGGTATTAATGGCATACGAATTTATAAAAATAGTCTACTTGCTAATCACTTGTGAATAAACTATCAGCTAAGAAAGTTCTATAAATATTTTCTGTCATTTCTTTAATGTTAAGGAAATCCACGAAGTATTATATAACTAATTAAAGATGGAGGAGGTTTGCCAAAAGTACATCAATGTACACAACGGAGAGAGGAGGGTCAAAAGTGGCTTAAAAACTCTACACGTAATTAATGAACGGTCTGTAATTACAACATTTGAGATCATAAATATATATTTGCAGAAAACTCATCGATCAAGAAGGAATTCATCCCAGCATACAGCTTACTCATTTGATTCAGTTTATCACAAATCACTGAAACTTTGAAGCATCTCTTCAACTTCACACATCGTGTGCAAATTTGTGCTATTCAAAATATTTAAAGCTGAAAAATTGTGTAAATATTCCTTTAGAAATATATAAAATTTTAATAAGAAAAAATACTCTAAAGATTTTCCGTTATTATAACAGGCTTTTTAATGATATTTTTTACCAACTTTCTACTTCGTGTTTTCTAAATTCCACTAGGCCCAAGGCTGTTTTATTATATTTATGATGCAATAAAAAGATGCACAAACTAAATTTCTTTTTAAAAAATTTTTTATAAATAAAATAATTTATGATAAATTTTTTTTTTAAATAATTAAAATTTAATAAATTTGTAAAGTTTCTCTTAAAAACGTTTAAAGGTTTTTAAATAATACTTCAGTTAAATATTTACACTCAAATTTATTTAAAACTTACTTTAGATATAAACATATAATTTTATTGTGTCGATAATTTTTTGGGCTGCTATTTGAAAAAAATTGTAGACCTATATAAATTTCCACGGTCGTAAATCTGTCTGTCTGTCCTTCCGTAATCTCGAGAACCGAGTCAGATAGATAAAAGTCAATAATGGATATAAGAGGCATAGGAGCATGAGGCCCCGATTAACTATACATGTATCACGTGACTTCCATTACAAACCGGAAGTCACGTGATTTTAATTTAAAATTTTCCCCACAATGGATTTACACAGATGACCAGCATGACTCCGTTATTATCAGGAAAAGTATGATGTACAGGGGAAGCACTACTAATTTGAAATCGAGAACATATATTTTAAATTAAATAAATTAAAAATATGATTAAAAATTGAATTCTGCAGGCATTGTGATGATGTCACAATAAATAATTGCTCATTTATATATATAAAATTATAAAATGACAAATAAACTTTCTTTATTTTTCTTTAGAATATAATATAAATTATTATTGGAAAAAACGGAGCAATTAATTATTGTGACATCGTCACAATGCCGGGCTGTAATTTTTATTTGCAGATTTCGCTCCTGTACGTCATACTTTTCTTGTTAACGACAGAATCATGCTAGTTATTTATATGACTCTATCTGGAGAAAATTTTTGAAATGAAATAACGTGACTTCCGGTCTAAACCGGAAATTTCTATATAGTTATCCGGAATCTCCGGTTCCCAAGATTTCCATTTCTGGTCTCGAAATTCATCTATCTAACTCCGTTATCGAGATTAAGGAAGAACAGACAAACATACAGACAGATGCCAGTGGAAATTTATAGGCCTTCAACTTTAAAATTGCAAAAATTTCAATTATTATTAAAATTAATAGAATAAATTAAAGTACAGTTTTATTATTTAAAAAAAATTCAAAAATTATATTATTTTCCTTACTAATCAGCACTTTTTTCTGCTATTTTTTTATTTAATTTCGTTCAATTTATAAATAACATTTTAACGTATAATGCGCATAATCAAGAAAAATAATATATTGATTTGATTATCGAGTAATCATCAAAGTTTAATATTATTCGTGTGAAGTTTAAATATAATTAAAGAATTTTTAATATAACAAATTTTCAATTTGAGATCAATATGTCAATATTGATATTTCAATCAATATAACCCTTAGACTATTATTATAAGTTCTTTTTTAGTGTTTTTAATTTGACAATAATTTGTTGGACGTAAATTAGTAACTCTTCTATAATATTTTATAAATTGATATCAAAATTTTATTTGTTTGAAGAAGGTAGAAGCTGTTATCGAGTCCATCTTTGTTTGCTCATCACTTATGGGTTGATGTTCAGTTATGGATTTACTCTTGAAGGGAACGGTCTACTATAATTTCTACAATACAACTAAATGCTAACATTCGTAAAGTTTTCATATTTGTTTCTCTCATAGTAATTATTGAAAAATAAGTTGAAGGTTTTTTCTGGACAAAAATTGTGAATAAAGTATCGATATAATGATTCTTCTATTACTTTTAATATTCAGATTTTAATGTTTCAAAATAAATTTTTGATACTTTTAAAGGGTTAAAATTGTATTTTTTTAAATTAGGGGTTGAATCTACTCAAGGGTCTAGGCTGAAGAAGGGAAGAGAGTGAGAGGATGAGGAAGAGGATGAGAAAGGAAAAGAGTAAGGAGATGAAGAGGAGTATGAGAAAGGAAGAGAGTGAGGGAGTGAGGAGGAGTATGATAAAGGAAGACAGTGAGAGGGTGAGAAAGAGTATAAGAAAGGAGGAGACTAAGGAAATGAGGAGGAGTATAAGAAATGAAGAGAGTGAGGAGATGAGAAAGAAGACAAGAAAGAAGACAAGAAAGAAGAGAGAATATCCTAGTAGGACACTGAGCAGTTAAGGTGAATCAAAAAGTATGAAGAAAGTACGAAATTTGTTAAGACCCACAAGCTTAAAATAAAGAAAATTTATGATTGTTACTTTTCATACATTTAATTATATTTCAGCTTTTCAGTTGTTGTATTAAAATAAACTAATAAGAAATACCTAAAAATTGATTTTTAACTGATTAAAAAATTTATAAAATAATTATTAAAATATATTTAAAATTTAAACTTTGCAACTGATCGATTCGTTAGCATTAAAAAATAATAATTAAATAAAAATTACATCTAACACGTAATTTGAGATACCTGATACAAAAGTAATATAAGTTTCCATTAGTAAGAAACATGATAATTATCAAAGTTATAATTATATTTTCAATATTCATTCTTAAAGTGTAAAAGTCAATTTTTGTTACAAATTTTGGAGCAAATTAATCTATTAAAATGACTTAAAAAATAATGAAAAAATTAATTAA